AAGTGTTCCATGATTCATTGTTTGTGCATAACACCCAGTGCTCCATGCAGAATGTGCCCTCCTCAATACCCACCACCAGGCTAACCCATCCTCCCACCCACCTCTAGAACCCTGTTTGTTTTTCAGAGTCCATCGTCTCTCATGGTTCGTCTACCCCTCCGATTTCCCCCGCTACATTCTTCCCCTCCCGCTACCTTCTTCTTCTTTTTTTTTTCTTAACATATATTGCATTATTTGTTTCAGAGGTACAGATCTGAGATTCAACAGTCTTGCACAATTCACAGCGAGAAAGCAGATTTCTATTATGGTCTAGCTCTGGGCAATGATGGGCTGATCTGAGGACTTTCTCCTTTAATATTTACCCCCTCTGCTGGAGAGGTTTTTTTTTTTTTTTTTTTTTGTCTTTTAAAAGATTTTATTAATTTGAGAGAGCAAACACGAGCCGGGGGGAGGGGCAGAGAGAGAGCGAGAAGAGGACTCCCTGCTGAGCAGGGAGCCCTACTTGGGGCCCGATCCCAGGACCCCAATATCATGACCCCAGCCAAAGTCAGATGCTTAGCCAACTGAGCCACCCAGGTGCCCTGAGATTGGAGTTTCTATGTTGTGCACCTGGCATCAGCTGTCTGCATATATTCTGTGTCCTTACTGGTAGCACCTGAGATTCCATGAGGGCTTGCGGTTGCTCGTGACTGATTCCTTGGGGAGTTCCAGGACATGGCAGGGAGAGGTTGAGCCCAAGACTCCATGCAAAGTGTGAGAGCCTAGTCTGGGGAGCCTCTGGGATCCTGCTGGAAAGCCGGGGAACCGCAGGACGAGAGCCACCTAGTGTGGACGCAGTGGCCATATGGACAAGGGTTGCATTGGAGCTTGACTCCTTTCATTCACCACTCTTTCTGCTCCAGGGCTGTTTGTGCTGCTGCTGTTGCCATTGGGAGCTGCAGCCCTGAACCTTGGGGGTGAGCCTGGCCAGCTGGCCCCTTTACTGATGGAGGGCATGGCAGCTTGGTGTCTGGGTTCCTTCACTACAAGGGGAGAGCCAGGGAGAGGAGGCTTAATCTGTGAAAGATCCTCAGATATGGTCTTTGGCGATAAGAGAAACTTTCTTCCTCCTCAAATGCTTAGAGTTTCCTGAACTCTTCCTCTTTCAATAGCAGCCAACCTTCCCCTCCTCCACTCTCTGGTCACCACCTGGCAGCTGGCTTCCTCCATGCCCTGGGGCTTCTGACCACAGTCTTGTCCCCAGTGTCTGTGGTTCGAGGTGCCCTTCTGACTCCATATCTCTCAGTGCCCCAGCCTGTTGCTGTTATCCAGATTCATATTTCCCCGTGGGAAGATCTTCAGCAATCCCATGATGGGTTGTAAAGGTCCAGAGGCTTGAGGGTGGTGGAGGGGCACATCCAAGATTATGGGGCATCTGGAGTCCTCAGTCCTGGGAGTGGCACAGAAGTACTTTGTGGAAAGAATACAGGCCAGAGGAAGAGTGGTGGGGATAGGGCAGTGCAGGCATGTGGCCAGGGGGATGCAGAGTGAAGAGCTCTGGTTTGTAACTAGAGGACACGAATGTTCTCTCTCTCCCTTTATCCCTCCTTCTCTGTATCTATCCTTCCCTCCCTCCCTCCTTCCCTCTCTCTCCCACTCTTTCTCCACACATGAGGACACAGGAGGAAGGTGGCCATCTACAAGTCAGGAGAGAGATCTCGCCAGAAACTAACCCTGCCCCCACCTTGACCTTAGAACCCAGCCTGCAGAAACAATTTGAGAAAATAAATTTCCGTGGTTTAAGCCACCTCATTAATACTCTATGGCAGCATTCACAGACTAATACACATGGAAATGGAGAAAACAAAGAAAATGTAAAAAATGCAAACGAAGAAAATCATCACAATTCCACTACAGAGACTAGTGAAGTATTTGGAGATACTTTTTTCTCATCTTTTAAAACATATCAGGAATATTTTCTTTTATCAATGAATATGAATCTCAGACTGTGTTGAGTATTGCTGAAGAATGGGAACAACTTGATTCTAGACGTGCCAGGGTTCAGAGATGTTGGGGTCACATGAAGGAGAGCCTTGTGGTGACGGGATATTTTCTACTTTATTGCAGTGACAGTTACAGGAATCCACACATGTGATGACATGTCACAAAACTGTACACTCCCATTGTGCTATGTCAATTTCCTGGTTTAGATATTTGACTACTGTTACATAAGAACCTAAATACATAAAATATATCTTTTGCAGGAAGCCAGGGGAAGGACCTCTAGGTATTGTTTTTGAAATTTCCTGTCAATCTAGGCTTATTTCAAAATAAAAACTTAAGAATAAAGATTCTGTGACTAGATAATCATAGATAAAAAATGATCTGTTCACTCTGAACCGTAGACCTCATAGGGGCCAAAATAGCAGTGGAATTACCTTCATGTTTGGGAGGTCTTCCTATATCAAAAAGATAGAAACCATCAAGGAGGCTTTCAGTAGGAATACTAGAAATGCTAAAGAAATACTTAAAAAGTGAAGGGTGAGTTTTAGAGATATTCATCATGGGGAAACACAGGAGAAAGAAGCGTCCAGAGCAGCAGTTTACTAAGAAGTTAGACATAATTAAACAGGAAGTCTTTTCAGCACACCCAGACCAAGACCAGACGGCATCCTCTGTGGCTGGGCTTGCTGGTGTCTGCACCATGCGGAACGGGCATCTAAGGTTGCTGCCAGGTAGGCAGAATTACAACAATGGTGATAGAGCAACTAAAGCTACCTGGAAACTCTATCCCGTTTGAGAATTTTCTCTGTTCTTTGCTTTATTTCTGTTTTTTTTTTTTCACTATCTGTGTAAGGGAGAGCAAGGAAAAAGTTTTAATGGCATTAACTCAATTATATTAAGTTCTCAGAGAAGAAAGTAGGTGGCACTTATTTCTAGGGCAATCTTTGGGACTTATCAGAGCTTTCTCATTTTCTGGCCTATATTAGACCTGGTTCTCCAGAGAAACAGAACCAAGTTTTGGTATATGTACATATATGTATAGAGATGTATATATAAGTGTGTGTGTATATATATGTGTATATATGTGTGTGAATAGGGAGATGAGAAAGAATGTGTTAGTTTAAGAAATTGGTTTATGAGATTGTTAAAGTTGGGAAGTCCAAAATCTGTAGGGCAGGTTGGAAACCCAGGGATGTTTCCAGGGACATTGATCTTGATCTCAAGTCTGAAGTCAGTCTGGAAGCAGAATTCTCTCTTGCTTGGAAGAGGTCAGTCTTTTTTCCCCCCTCTTAAGGTCTTCAACTGATTAGATGAGGCCCACCCAGAATATCAGCTTTACTCAGAGTCTACTGATTTCGCTGTCAATCTCATTTAAAGAATGACCTTCGCAGCAGCATCATGCCTCCCATGAACGGAATGACAGACTCTAACAGGTGGCCAGGAGATTGCCTGTAGGGTAGATTCCTTCACACCTGCAGTGGTTTTCATACCATGATGCCTGCCCAGTGACCCATCACTCAGGACCAGACTGGGAGATAAAGGGAAAGCTTGTTGCCCTCAGTGCACTGTAGGATGGCCAGGAGCTCACTTGGAAGGAACCATAGAAGCCATGGGCACTGCACCTGGAGAGGCCACTTAACCAGGAGATGGTGGCTCAAACCGCCAGGGTGATAGTTCTCACCCCTCACCCGTCATCAGTTCCTCCTCTCCCTGCATGACTAATACCACTGTGAACTGAGACTCAGACTTGGGGATCACTCCCAAACCTGTGCTCTTATTGTTTGCCTTGAAACATGTATGTTGAACAGGGGGAGTGATCCTGGAAGAGAAATCCTCAAGGTAGATTTCTGCCATCGCCATAGAACAAAGGACCTGGCTGTGGACAGAGCACACACCCATCTGTGGACTTTGTGCTTCAAGATTTACCCCCTCCAGGGCCCCTGGGTGACTCAGTTGGTTAAGCATCTGCCTTCGGCTCAGGCCATGATCCCTGGGTCCTGGGATCCAGCCCGGTGTCAGGCTCCCTGCTCAGTGGGAAGTCTGCTTCTCTCTCTCTGCCCCTCCCCCCTCCCCAGCTGTGCTCTCTCTCCTCTCTCTCTAAAATAAATAAATATTTCTTAAAAAAATATTTACCCCCTCCATTGGGAGAGGCTGGAATTTCTATGTTGTGTCCCTGACATTACCTGTGTATATTCTGTCCCCTTACCTGTAGCACTGACTGATTCCTCAGGGAGTCCGAGGAGAGGGAGGGAAGAGGACTGGTCCTCAAATCTTCATAAATTACTAGAGCCTTGGGAGAGCCATGGGCCACAGCATCAGAGCCACCTCCCAGGATGCAATGGCCGTGAGGACAAGGGTTGAACCTGGAGCTCCATCTCCTCTCTTTGTCATCTCTCTCTTTTTTCTGCCCCAGGACTCTTGATGCTGCTGCTCTTGCCATTGGGAGCTGCATCCCAGAAGGCTAGCGGTGAGTCTGCCCAGCCAGCCCCACTGGTGACAGAAGCTGGGGGTGCATGAAGGGGTCTGGGTCCTCACACCAGCAAGGGGAAAAGGGGGAGCATATTCTTCAAGTGAGGCTCTGGTCTTCTGGAGATAACAGAGACTTCTTTTACCTCCCCAAACGTCCAGAGTTTTCTATCTTTTCTTCTTCCAGTGGCAGCCATACCTCTCCTTCCTCCACCTCCCCTCCTCTGCTCCTAGACCCCTAGCTGGCAGCTGGCTCCCTCCATTTCTTGAGTCTTCTGACTGTGGTCTCTGTCCCCACAACCTCTGCCTCCACAGACTGTGCTCGCTGGTGCCCTCCGAGATCCACGTGTGTCAATGCCACCACCTGTCGCTGCTCCCCGGGATTCATTTCTTCGTCTGGGGAGATGTTCACCAGCCGGTTGGAGAGCTGTGATGGTACAAGGACTTGGGGTGGTGCAGGGGTGCGGAGACAGTGGAGGGAGGTGATGGGGGGGAGATGTTCTCCTCTCTATGGCTCAGTTTGTTAGTCTGTAAATTGGGGGTAATCATTGTACCTACCCTACATGGTTGGAGTGAGATTTAAAATTCACGTGTGTGAAGAACACATAAGGACTAGTACAGAGCAGACTGTCAAACACAAGCTATTTTCATGGTCACTGCTGTCATTACTGTGATATTCTCATAGCACAAGGAAAGGGAGAAGTAGTGGAAGCAACAGGAGGGAAGAAACACCCAGGTCCTGGAAGCTCAGGCTCTCTTCCTAGCATGAGCTCACCCAGAAAATTTATTCCTAATACATTTGAAAAGATAAGAAAAAAATACCTAAAATTTCCCAGTAGTCTGCGTAGTGGACTTATGGGTGATTTTCTTTGTTTTCATTTTTTACATTTTCTTTCTCTTCTAAGTATCCATGTTTCATTTAATATTTGGGGGGAAAGTAAATTTTTAAAAAATTTTATTTAAATTCAATTAATTAATGTATGTTGCATTATTAGTTTCAGAGGTAGAGTTCAGTGATTCATCAGTTCTATATAACACCCAGTGCTCATTACATCACATGCCCTCCTTAATGCCCATCACCCATTTACCCCATCCCACACCTCCCTCCCCTCCAGCAACACTCAGTTTGTTTCTTACGATAAAGGGTGTCTTATGGTTTGTCTCCCTCTCTGATTTTATCTTAATTTCCCCTCCCTTCTCCTATGCTCCTCTGTTTTGTTTCTTAACTTCTACATTTGACTGAAATCATAAATTGTCTTTCTCTGATTGACTTATTTCGCTTTGCATAATACCCTCCAGTTCTATCCATGTTGTTGCAAATGACAAGATTAAATTTTTTTGATGGCTGAGTAATATTCCATTGTGTATCTATAATATATGTGTATATATATATATATATATATATATATATATATATATATATATAC